ATAATAATAATTATAATAATGATAGTAATGATAATAATAATAACAACAACAACAACAATAATATAGTCATATATATAAAAATATAGTCAATAATATAGTCAGAGAGAGAGAGAGAGAGAGATTAAGGAAAAAGGAAATTACAAAGAGAAACGGGGGGTGTATAATAAAAAAATATATATATAATAATCGTAAATAAAATCAATAGATAGATAAATAAATAAATAAATAAAGACGTGTTGCCTTCACCGGGAACATTTAACAGCTCGGTGTTGGATGTTAGCTGCTGCTGCTGCTGCTGCTGTGTTAGCTCAAACTAACTGTGCAGACGTTGAACTGATCGTTCGCTGGGAGGGCAGCAGCTCTGGGGACGGTCCTGTGAAAATAAAAACAGTGGAAATGTCCACACTGGCGACAACATGTGTGGCTCTCTAGTTAGCATGCTGTGCTTGTGTATTATCGACTCTATTAATGAGCTATAATTTTATTATTGGAATGACAGATAATAATATTAATTTCTCATTTTCGGGCCAATAATTTATCAGCCTGATATGTGTCGTGTATCCCTAATTTTAGTGCAATTTTAAAAGTTTTTAGCATATTCTGATGAAAATCGGGATGATAGGGTGAATTATTTTAGCCAGAATTATCATGACATGAAATTTTCATATTGTCCCATGTTTAGTTTGATGGCACATTCATGACAGTAGAAGAAGTGTTGTACTACTCAAGATTGGTCTTCGTCTCAAGACCACTTTTTGAATATCTCATCTTAGACTCTACTGTATTTTTACTCAGCCTTGTCTCGGTCTCAAACAAAGACGACTTGGGATTCATTTCAAGACCAGCCAAGACCACAACTGCAGGGATTTCACTAAGTTGGCTGTGCAAAAAAGGAGTGTTGCATAATGATGGCTCAGTTGATTTTAGCTCCTTACTGGTTATGTTTGTTCGTTCATAGAAAACAAAGGAAATTTCCACGTAAAAATTACCCCTGCAATGCATTTTGGTTATTTAATCAAGACATAAACATACAACATATTTACGGTAGATGGCAATAAAAGAGTTGAATAAAGAGGAATCTACTTTAGTTTTTTGTGGGTGTTTTTACGATTGTGGATCTTTCAGAATTGATTTGAGTTCCTACAGTTTGCATGTTCCACATTTGTGTGTCCTGCAGTGAGAGACTCGCACTGAGCTCATCTCCACACGGTCTCGCCCTGCCTTGGTCTTGGTCCTGACTTGGTCTCAACATCTCAAAGTCTTGGTCTTGTCACAACCTTGATTCCCTCTGGTCTTGATCATGACTTGGTCTCAGTGTAGGCGGTCTTGTGTGGTGCTGTTTTGTTTGTGCCTAATGAGTCATATGTGGACTATGTTTTCAGTTGCGTGGTTTAGTGTTGACTTGTGAGGTAATGCTATCAAAAGCAAATATTCAGGCTGTATTAAGGTTCTTTTAAAGGTCAGAATGTCCCCAAAAACTGACTGGAGGGCTCGTAACTCACAGATACCACAACAGCTCTCTGAGTAAATTGAATTTCATCAGTTTTTGTGTTTGGATGGGCTCAGTTAATGACATCATGGTGATGTTAAAAGTATCTAATTAAGTTTCAGTTGAGCTGCTTTCCATTTCCATTTGCTTTATACTTGCAGGGTTTCAGCATGGGACAGGTACTGTTATCTGTCATCTAGTGGTCAATACTTAACTGCTCTAAACAATATCTAGTCCATGTGTACAGCTGCCAATGAAAACAACATGATTATCTCATGCTTTATGTTCGCCGCCGACCACAAATGAATAAAATGTGACTTTCCAGTATGTCAAAGCTTCAAGAATAGACACGAGGGTGGAGGCCAAATGACTCAAAACTCTGTTTTTAAAGGAAAGCACAACATGTTGAAGTGGAGTTTATAGAGTCGTTACTGGTGCTCACAGTAGCATAAAAGCACAGCAGCTCCACTGAGGGCAGAACCAGCTCATCTGCTTCTTATAAGCACACACTCAGCTGAGACACTTTTTGCACTGAGGAGAATTAGAGGGAGCAGAGCTCAGCACAGCACAGCACAGCGGCGTCAGTCAAAGGGAATAGCTGTTTGGTGATGTCATGTCATGTGTCTTGCAGAGAGAGTATGTTTGTGTGTGTGCGCGCAGCCATGCCTCTCGCACCTGTCTAGCTCTGCAGAGTCTCCTCAGTGACGCCAGTCACAGGTTTTGTGGTTTGTTTTTGCTCCCAGCTATGAAGCCAGATGGTGCTGCTGCTGAGTAGGAATGAAAGTACACATAATGACGGTTATCAGTAGATTTGAAGTACATTACATAAACAAATTTGTTGCTTAGAAAAGAGGATCTTCTTTTCTCACAATCGATGGAATATTTCTGAGACATAATTGCAAATTAGTTGGATATCGGTGGAGTTTTGCACCTCAGCAGTGAATTTGCTGACAATATTCAAAGTATCCCCATTCTACGATTCATTGGGGTATCTTACAAAAATGCACAAACAGTTTATATGATATCGTACGAATTAGTTGCCCATGAATGACGAAATGCTCTTAACATAAAGTTACAGAATAAACGTAAAGTTACTGCGGTTTTGTTTAGGGAACACGATGAGGACGTACCTTAAAATTACTCTGAACACAGTCTCCTGGGGGAAGTCCCAGGGTAAAGTAGGTAGGACTATGAACTAATTACGTGAAATACGTTCAAATCTTTGTACATTACCTTTCATCGGGAAACAAATTCTGGTGCATAAGAACAACCTGCATTTACTGGTCAAACGTTGCCACTTGAAAACAGGATGCTGCAGTTAAAACTCAAATGTAAGTTTTAAATAGTCATATCTTCCACCATTTTAAGTATCTAGGTTTTCCTGTAAGACCAGAGACCATATTCACAAACTGAGAACGCTCTCAGAGAGCTCCTAACTTTGCGTAAAATTTCAGTAAGGAGTCCTAGCTCAGGAGTGACTGAGGAAAGTTCTCAGAGCAACAGAAACTTTTCCTTTAGTGAGGAGATGTGGTTGACCCTGTTGCTAGGTGTGATGCATTCTTTTAACAGATGTGATTGGTTGTCACAGACACGCCCCTTTGTGAGCCTGCAAGGTGTGGACACCTGGTGGAAATGAAATGAACTGCTGACTGTGAAAGTGTTGTCATTGTTAGTGTGATCACTCTGCTGATGGAAGGTTGAGACAGACTCAAGTCATCACTGCTGCACTGTTGTTGGGTTTTTTTCTGTTTTTTTAATATCTTACTATTGCAATCATTTTATTTTTGGTGTTATAACGTTCTTGCGTTAGGTGGGAAATGTGTGCACATCCCTAATTTCATAGCATTTCATTAACCCACTGTCATCCAGCGTTTGGAGAATATTTCTCCGACCTCTTTGTGTCTCCACCAATTTCTCTTCTGATTAAGAAACTCTTAAGCCTCTTAAAAGTCCTCCTCCCTGCTCCTAACAGTTAAGCTGTAAGATACTCTGTGAATAACTTTTATCTTTTGTCTGAACTTTAAGGGGAAATTCTAAGAAAAAGTTGCAATCCTTTCGTATCTAGGAGCAGCTCTGTATTAGGAGCCTTTGTGAATACGGCCTCAGATCCTCAGGAAGTGTGTCAGACTTTGAAGCCAATTTGACATAGTGGCCAAACTGTGTAACTACAACTTCCGGGTCAGTCACTTGATGCCTTTGGGCCTAAAAAGCCTTTGTACTATAGACTTACATTGGGAAAGAGATTAATTTTGAGGGGCGTCACAACCCCACGCAAAGACAATTGGGATTTGATCCATTCAGTCCGATAATATTTCGAAAGTCTAGAAGAGCCGCATGATGGAATCAATTTATCCCCATTTGACTTAGTGGACAGTTAAACCAGAATCATCTGGGAAAAGGTTCCTCAGTATGTCCTTGATGGCTACAAACATCATACAGTACATCCAAAGTGTCTAATGTCATTATCCTCTTCCCTCTCTGCCTCTCTCTTTAGCTGATGAAGAGAAGCTCGATGAACGGGCCAAGCTGAGCGTAGCAGCCAAGCGCTCTCTCTTCAGGGTGAGCTTTGACTATCGCCTGTTTGTCCTCTTATGTTATGCTCAGATTGTTTTACTGGTTCCAGACGCCAAGCACAGAGAAATGTGCTTCTAATCACCGACACAAACACTGTCACATTTTTATTTTCTATCCTCTCTTTACTGTGAGGATTTAGAGATGAAGACTTGGAAATACTGACTTGGTTTCAGCACAGGCAATGCACCGGAACAAGCCTTTGCTTGGAGCACATTTCACCGCACATCTGTGGAACTGACCTCAAACACCCCTGCAGTCTCAGGAGATACTCACATTTCCAACAGCTTTGATAATAGATATGATTTTAATGTAATCAATCTGTCTTTAATTACTGTTATGCTAATTTGATCTAATTCAATATCCAGTTCAGTCATCAAGCTTTATCAAGTGCACATATTGCCTTGTCAGTGTGTGAAGCCCATGTTTCAACAATCTGTCACTTTAACGTCACAACAATTTGTGAACCGTGCTCCCAGATAATCCTGCTGATGTTAAGGAAATGTGAAATATTCCATTGATTTTACGATGATTTTCCACATTTGCTCCGTCTCCATCCAGGAACTGGAGAAAAGCATTGATGGCGGAGCTCCTAAACTTCGCTCCAGGAATGCAGCGGTGGACAGGAGACTAAGACGGACACAAGACAGATCCAGAACTCAGCCTGTCACCACTGAGGAGGTTGTCATCGCTGCCACGTACGTCTCAAGTTACTTTGTGTAATGCTGAATTAAAGGAATAGTTTAGCATTTTTGGGAAATGCACCTCTTTGAGTTAGATGAGAAGACTGATACCACTTTCAGGTCTGTGTGCAAGGATGGAGCTAGAGGAGGGGATTAGCTTAGTTTAGCTTAGCGTAAAGACTGGAAGACTGGCAGTCATTGCCCTGGCTGCTGGTCACCAAGAGATACTTAAAGCATGGTAAAGGCTTGGTTCTGCAATCATGGGAATGTATCGTGGTCTGCGCACAGCCAAGAAAATTCTTAACCACTGCCGTGAGCAGAAATGGCTCAAACACGGCACGGCCCTGCAGGCTAATCCCTTCAGAGGAGCCTCCCACACCAAGGGCGTCATCGTTGACGAAGTTGGTGTTGAGGCTAAGCAGGCCAACTCTGCCATTAGGAAGTGTTTGAGAGTGCAGCTCATTAAAGGGATAGTGCACCCAAAAATGAAAATTCAGCCATTATCTACTCACCCATATGCCGATGGAGGCTCAGGTGAAGTTTTAGAGTCCTCACATCCCTTGCGGAGATCCAGGGGGAGAGGAGGTAGCAACACAACTCCACCTAATGGAGGCTGATGGCGCCCCAGATTCAAACGTCCAATAACACATAATTGAAACCACAAAATATCTCCATACTGCTCGTTCATCGGCTAAAAACAGAGTTCAAATGACGTTTTTCCAAACAACTTTTACGTCGGGGCTTCAGGACACTTGGATCACTGTCACTATTTTGGGTGCACTATCCCTTCAATAAGATCACTGCCTTCATCCCCAACAATGGTTGCCTCAACTTCATTGAGGAGAACGATGAGGTTCTGGTTGCAGGATTTGGGTGTAAAGGTCACGCAGTTGGTGACATACCTGGAGTTCATTTTAAGGTGGTCAGAGTGGCCAATGTGTCCCTGCTGGTTGATGCAGAAAACAGAATAAACAAGATTTCAAATACAAAAAATTGACTCATAAAGCCACAACTTGCCATTTTACCTTTCTTTTTGCTTACAAACTAGATACAGTGTGCAACTTAGTGAGCTTTAGAGGTCCATGTAGATGTCAAGAGAGACAGGCTCGCGGTTTCCTTTTGCTTTCGGTCTAATGCTAAGCTAGGCTAACTCTTGAGATAGCTAGCTTCATATTTAACACTCAGACATGAGAGTGGAGTCAATCTTGTCATCGCAACTCTCAGGAGGAGGGCAAGTGAAGGAATGGCGAACTATTCCTTTGAATTAAGCACAACTTAAGTGCTTTAAAGGCTCAGTTCACCTGAAGTACAAAAGCATTCTCATTCACCCCTCTTGGTGTCTAGCTACATTTTCGGAGATCTGAGATTTCTGCCGCCACCCCAATACAGCGAAAGCAAACGGGATTTTGATTGTGAGCACTGAAAGTAACTGCAGATTTGGAAAATTGAACAGGAACATCTGTTTCAGGTTATAATCGTACCATTGTTCTAGATTATTCTCAGACACTTTTGGAACACTGCAGAAATAGTCCCTTTGTAAACTGTGAACAACAGGTTGTGTGAATCATCCAGAGTGCTGGGGGACACTGATTCTGACTAGATGAATTTCTGTTGAGTTTGTAATGTAACTTTCCAGTGTAGTGAGTCAGCAAAATTCCAACCACCTTAGTTGCTCGGGGTCGAGGCAGAAGTTTGGTTGAAGCTACCTTTCAAATATTTTAAACTTTCACAAGCTTATGATGCAGCAACACTTTTTATGTTGTCAGTATGAGGGCTAATCCATCACATTTTTTCCCTTGACACATTTCAAAATTTCATTGAAATTCTTCGTGAATACTGAAATGAAATTTTGTTGAAAGCCTCCAGCCATTGAAAGCCCTGAACACCTTCTAAACCTCAACATGCTTCGTATTCCTCTCCTTTAGCTTGAATGAACATTTCCTTATTACCTGGAAGTCACCTGGATCATCTCCTCTGTCACCTGTGTGTTGTCTCTGTCACCTCTCTGTGTGTCTGTATCCTTCGCTACTGTAGCGTCCCCTCTCACATGCCACACACGGTGACTGTGCACACTGCTGTGGCACGAGTCCCTAGCCCCACCCTAGTTTGCAGCACTGTCCCGCCATACAGGTACATGGCACGGATTTGAATGCTCACGCCGACCCACAGTGTGTGACTAACATGATTGATCTGTATTGAATGCTGCTCACACATCACGGCACAGTGTTCTGTCAGAGTGGTGTTCTCACGAGCACAGTTTAGCCCACAGAAAGTGAATGGATGCGAGTTGTTAATGTAAAGTCCTAATGCACAGTGTTCTTTGAGTTGTGGTGCCCTCCTGTGTGATCGGAGGAAACTACATGACTTTACCGAGTGGTTTTTGTGGTGGGCATGACTCACTTGTGTGTAACAACCCTTTATAGCTCTGGATGTCATAGTCATTAGACGCACACAACTTCACACTGCTGCCTGACATGTAGCATGCCACCTGCCGGCCTGCATGAGCTCCTTCCATGCTTACAAGACGTCTCCCTTTCTCCTACGTCTTTGTCTCTCGGGTGTCTTCCCACCCTCAGCCTGCAGGCATCCTCGCAGCAGAGCGCAGCCGCCCGGGATCAGGCGCAGGAGACACGAAGGCAGCGGGAGGCCCAGCAGGTAAAGGAGGTCCGGCAGATGCAGGAGACCCGGGAGGTCCAGAGCTCTAAGCCCGTGTCCACAGTGGAGGGAAAAGACCAGAGCCAGGGTCAGGGAGGTCAGGATGAGCCTGACATGTGCACCCTCAGCCTGGCAGAAAAGATGGCTCTGTTCAACAGACTGGCTCAGCCCCCCATCAGGGTCACCCGCACCAGAGGGGACACACGCCAGCGCAGGGCCAACACTCGCTACCAGACACAACCCATCACACTGGGAGATATGGAGCAGGTAGGCGAGCAGAACGATCATTTGCAGGTTTATCACATAGAATATCTGCCTTTTCTTCATATTTCCCTGCATTTAAACTAGAATTATTCTGACTCTGTATTCTAGGGATGCGCAATAATATCGACACGTCATCGGTATCGGCCAATATGCTTTTTCTCCATTTGCACAGTTACTGAAAATAACATAAATTAAAAAGTATTGTGTTTCATGTCTCCATCACAATAACAGTATGCATGCATAATATGGTGTTAATTCCACTACAGACGAGACTTGATCACTAAAATTAGGTATGGAAAAAGTGGATATATCGATATCAGTATCTGTTATAGGCCAAATAAGTTGTTATGTATCGGCATATCGGCAAAAAATCCAATATCATGCATCCCTACTGTATGCTAATAAAAACATGTTTCTGTTTCCATAACTTGTAAGGTTTAGGAAACTGAGGTATTCTAATTTATTACCATGATTTGTGGCTAAAAAATGTAATTTTTATGTTGTTCACACTTGAAAATAAATAGTTTTAAAGGAATAGCCGAACAATTTGGTTTGTTTAATCCATACACAAACCAAAAAAAAAGAGTTTCTGTGTTATATTGAAGTGACAGCAGGAGCTACTTTAAAAATAACCAAAGTCTTTTCATCACCGTCAGTGACATCATCGTCAGGCAACCAGCCGAGACTTCAGGAGGTAACCGCAGCCTTAGAGAGAATATTTATCTACTTAAATCCCTGTAAAACTACAAACTGCTGTTTTTACAATTGGGTGTGTGTATGGATTAAACAGTGTGTTAATGTGTAAATTATCCAGCCTTAGAGGCACTGAGTTTCAGCAAGAAAGCAAATTAGTGCATTTTTCCTAAAGTGTCCATCATTTGATGGAGAAGTTGGTACCAAAATGTTCATGTGAATCTTATTTATATAGCTCAACATCACATTTTCTTCAAGGGTTTTACAATCTCTACAACATGTGATAAACTCTGTCCTTGAGCAGAGCAGACTGGGCTTTTCTGGGAGGGCGTCTTAAAGAGACAGGCTCTTCAACGGAGCGTTTCGGACAGAGGGTGAATACAGATGTCCCACATAACAGTCTTGATCATTAAAGAGTGTAAACATGTTGTAATAGGAGCCAAAAATACAAGTGTCAACTGAAAATAAGTCTCCTTTAAATAAAAAGAAAGATATCATGAAAATATTAAGAGTATAAAAATCAAAGAGTGTCACACAGGTGCCGTTTAAAATGCTTCTGCTTTAAAAATCTATGAAACAAGCATTGCAGCATGTGCGTGTTTCCGCTCCAGGAGCCTTCAGACATAGACTTCAGGGATGAACAGGAGCTGTGTGACAGCCCAGTAGAGCACCTACAAGTAAGGTTCCTCTGAACAATCACCACGCATTTGCCTGAGATCGCGGAGGCTTGGGCACTCTTCTCAGAAATGACCGTACATTTCTGTGAACACATGCTGTACGGCATCATGTATCCATGTTGTGTGATTTCATTATGAATGTGCAGCGCGCTGCCCGGCTTCTGAGTAAGGTCTGACTCAGTTCTCATCAGTGAGGCTGCAGTGTGTGGATGGATGATGCTGCTGGTTGTCTTTCAGTCAGGCTGAGGGCTTGAAAGATGCATCTGTGGTGGGGGAGAGGGAAACAAAGCACTTGTACGCTCGTTCATCACCACATGAAGTGAAAGCAGCTTTTTGTCATCGGCTCGCTGAAGCCTGCGTCTGTTTTATGGAGCATGGGAGAGAATTAAGAAGTTAAAGGACTCAATGTTGCGAGATTTTTCTGTGGTGTCCATGGATGTTTACTGCTGCTTGTCATTCGTTGCTCAACAAAAATGTCAGAAGGTTAGTTCTCAAACTTAAATTACGAATTTGGAAAGTGTCTCTTTTGGCTACAGCTGGATGCATTGTGCGTAGGGGGGGGTTGCTGGCATGGCTGTGTGATGTGGGCTGCAACTGACCGACGAGATAGGCTGCCGTTTGATGCTCAGGAAGTGCAGTGAGTCAGACAGGCGGTGATTACTCGTGAGTCTCTCAAATTTTGCACGTGTGCATGCAGTTTGTGCGACCTGTTTCTCAGCCTCCGTGGCAAACATTCACACTCTTCTCTCTGCCCGTGTCTCCTTCCACCTTCCTGTCACACAGCTTCAAAACGGCACAGGCTCTCGCTACGGAGATCCCCCAACTTCATCATCTCCCTCTGCTCTGAGAGAAGGCACCGTCTCCACCGACCACGCTGGAGACATCCACATAACCCGAGCTCCCAGCTCTGACAGGGCTCTGCCCCCTCGCCACCCAGACGGCCCCGTCTGGAGGTCCCTGGGAGAAGACGTAGCAGATCTGGGAGGAGGGAAGAGGAAGCTGCCCTCTCCTGAAGCAGCGGTCAGGCAGGTTGCTCTGCCCCAGCCACAGACTGGGAGAGAGAGGAGGGAGGTGGAGGAGGAGGAGGAGGAGGAGGAGGGGCAGCAGTGGCAGACCAGGGGGTGGGGAGACAAAGCGGTGCAGAGCTCAGAGAGGCACATGCTCCAGGAGAGGCAGGAGGACGGACGCTGCCGGGACAGCCAGAGGAGCAGGGCCATCAGTGGAGGTAAGGACAGCTCAGCTGAGAGGGAACTCAGAGGAGCTGTTTGTGCTCAGTGACAGGAAAAAGAATTAGAAAGAATGTGATGCAGGTTAGCTGAAGGTGCTAAAGATGGTGGACATAATACCTGCTAAACATCAGCATGTTACTGTTGTCAAAATGTTGTCATGTCAGCATTTCGATACCAGGTTTAACATGTATTTTATGACGTGAAGAAGGATTTTTATTGGTTAGTGATCATGCTTTTAAAGATATAATATGTTACTTTTCCACGTTAAAATATCTAAAAATGAGTAGACCAGGGGTCTGCAACCTTAACTACCAAAAGAGCCATTTTTGACCAAAAATAAATAATGATAATAATGATTTGCAAAACATATTTGAGGCTTTAATGAAGTTAAAACAGCCTTAGGTCTAAATTAGCATTCATTCATGTTTTACCACAAGCTGGCTGCTCTGTAGGGCACCGGTTTGGTACTTTGACTTTGC